ATTTTAGACAAATTTTGAATGCTGTTAAGGAATTATGTGTCACATATATCGAATCAGCAGAAATTTTAAAATAAGGTAAATCGATATTTCCTTTTTGTACTGCGTAGATTAGATAACATGCATTTCCATTTTTATGTTATTTCCTTTTTTTTTATTTAAATCATAATCATATGCAGTTTATTGAGATTATTTTCTTTGTTTTAATTATGTTTTGGATGCCATTTTACTGCAGAGGAAGGGCACTAGCATAAACAGGAATGGGTTAATCTTCAGATTATCGTAACTTGGCGATTTTTTGGCGACCAACCCTGCTACAGCAACTTGCTAGTTTTGTTTTGGGACGCCATTTTGTTTTCACGAAGTTTTTTTTTTTTTTTTTTAAACTCAACATTTTTTCCAACAATCTGATACCCGAATTACACTTATACTAGAATTTTTATGGAACAAAAATGCTTAATCATGACGAAGATTAGGTGCGAAATTGGGAGAAAGTGCAGAATCGCCCACTGCTTGCCGCGTTTTTAAGAATTGCACATACACGGTATCATCCATGTACACGTCGACCTATTTTCACTTGAAAAAAATCCCAGAATTGCACAAAAATGGCATTGCACACTGCTAAAGTCCTAGCTAGTAACCTTTATCGCCTTACCAAAATGTCGCCAAACTACCTGTAACCATATTCCAAAGATTAGCCCAGCAATGGCACCAAAAATTCACCATGGGATATCCTGAAATATACACTGGTGTAAGAAATTAAGAGAATTTTCATATTTGATCTACGATCTCCAGAACTACTGGACAGATTTTAATCAAATTTGGTGTGAACATAGGTTGATATAATACAAAATAAACATTCAACAGTTATAATAGACACATGGTTTGTGTGTAACATTCATAGAAGTCTGAAACAGCGGTTGCAGAAGACAAAAGAAATGGGTTAATAGGGGGTATGATCCCCTCTTACAGCCATACAGGCCATGCAGCATGATATACTGGAAATAAAGCATGATATCATACTGGAAATAAGGCAGTTTATCAGTGCCTGTGGCAATTGGTCCTACTGATTCAACAATGCTGTTTTCAGTTCCTGAATGGTTCTCACAGGGGCAAGTTGCAATTGCCTTCCCCAGAGCATCCCAGACATGCTCTATAGGATTGAGGTCTGGAGACCTAGCTGGCCAATCCATCCGGCGAATATCCTCACTTTCGAGAAATTCGTCAACCAGAAAAAAGAGCTATGTGGCCTCGTGCTATCATCCTGTAAGATGAACTTGGAGCCCACTGCACCCTGGAAAAGGCTAACATAGGGCTCCAAGACCTCATTCTTATACCTCGCACCAGCCTCTGTCAAAGACATGAACAGATGTGCGGCCATTCAACATGATACCTGCCCAGACCACTAACCGCCACAATTGTTGATTTCGCGGACATTGGATGGTAGGTAGCGGGTCCCTGGCTCTGTCCATATGAAAGTACGACGAGAATTGGTGTTTAGGCTAGAACGAGACTTGTTGGTGAAGGTGAGCAGAATGGTTGCCCATTGCTCTGTACTCCAATACTATGCTGTCTGCACTATGCTAATTGCCTTGTTACACAGGTTCCTGTGGTTGCATACGGGTTGCGAGAGAGCTGAGAAGCTGCAGCCTGTTATGCCTCGCTAAAATGGACAAATAGCAATCTTTTCTGGCCGTCGTGGCTTTTGGATGACCTTGTCCAGGCTTTCTCTTGATGGACCAGTATCCTGGAACTGTTTCCATAGGTTACACACGACGAAGGGTATTAAACTCTCTGCATGTCGGACTTGCGATTGGCCTGCCTCTAGCCTCCCCACAATTCACCACCTCATTCCATCATCTAAACGATGGTGGTTACTCATGTTTACTGTTCCAATGTGAATTTAACCAATTGCTGCAAGATAACACCAAGAATTCGCAGAGGTAGAGGTGTGCTAGCGAACGCCCTCCACGCGTTTATAAAGTCTGTTTTTCTGCTGGCTATGCCTACACTCATGTGTAGACTTATGTATTTGCCGTACAAGATTTGCATTTTTATCTAGAAGCAGAGGTTTTTCCTTCAGTTCAGTTCTTTTCATGCAATTCGATAAAATATGCAAATTCTCTTAATTTATTTCACCAGTGTATTTCTTACCTATTTTTCATATATTGAAACATTTAAAAAAAAAAATGTTTTTTTTTTTTTTTTTTTTTTTTTTTACAGGCACGAATTAATCACATTTCAATTAATTTCAAGGGGGAAAATTGATTTGAGAAGGGAGAGTTTTTAACATACAAGCTCAGTCATGTAATGAATTAAACTCCTATCTCAAGGCACCAATACACACTGTTCAGCATACTAGTGACAATGGTTGACGGCCTAAATTGGAATCACTCAGCTAGACATCTGTAGCTTATCTGTGGTTTATTTAAACAATGTAATTATTAAATAACATGATAATTAAACTTTTCCACCACATTCTGCTTTTCATTTATGAAAATATCCTGTTATAAGACCTATCAACTACTAGAACAAAAATAGATACTTTTCCATTTAAAGCCATACCATGGGCACCATACTGGTACATTTGGGCTTCTTTTTTTTTCCATACCTTTGGCTCAACCTAGGATGAAATGGAACAACTGGGAGCAGCATACTTGACAATAGGAAAGATACTTGACATAACAAGGTGACATTAATTTGAAGACAAAATCCTCCAAAAAAACTTGCTGGTTATTTTTTTCTTTTCATGAAAGCCAATGCGGTTAATCTTTGAATTATGGTAACTTGGCGATTTTTTGGTGAAAATTTGGCAGCCAACCCTGCTACAGCAACCTGCTAGTTTTGTTTTGAACCCCATTTTATTTTTATGAAGTAAAGGCATTTTTTTTTTACTCAACATTTTTTTCCACAATCTGCTAGCCGAATTACGCTTATGATAGAACTTTTATGGAACAAAAATGCTTAATCATGACGAAGATTAGGTGCGAAATTGGGAAACTGCTTGCCCGTTTTTAAGAATTGCACATACACAGTAAGCTTGTACACGTCAACCTATTTTTATTGCCTTACCAAAATGTCGCCAAGCTACCTGTTACCATATTCCAAAGATCAGCCGCCAATGCTTTTTTTGAGGGAGACAAGAATAAGCTTTTACAAATTTTTACAATTGCAATATCCTTTAATCCCTTAATTTTAATATCAGGATAAGATAACAAGGAATTGACACATACCTCTGTCATATATTATTCCTATCAATCATGCTGCGATTGATTTGAAGCCGATTCGAAAAGAATCTTTGCTAAGAATACCCCTTACTTGAAGAATCAGGATAGGCCTTGAATCATTTCTCTACAAATTTTAAGTTGCAAAACCCATTGAAAAAAAAAAAAAAGAAAAATTACATGACACCTGCCACTCAAGAGAATATGCTATTATTGGCCTTTCAAAAATAGAGAAAATAAAAAAAGAAAGAAAAAGGTGCAAATAGAGCAGTTTAATGCAAAAAATCTTACTTTATTCCATATTTGTCACTAAATGCAAAAATAGTTTTTTTTTCCCTGGCTAAAGTAATGGAAACAGCCATCTGAAAATTACTAGAAATTTAAAATGGACTTTTCGTAAACATGAAAATATTCAGTAATTTACTTTTTTATTCTTGAAGATGTATATAATTTTCTTCTACTAAACAGCTGTCACGCAAGTTCTAAAGAAACTGAATGCCAGTCCGATTCTTTTATTAATGCAATTTCACAATTTATCAAATTTTCTGGTACAGCTTCTACAGGATGGCTTCATATTCCTGGAGGGTTCAAACACACTTTCATAAATTAAGAGCTTTCTCCTTTTCGATATTTTTAGGTCTTTTATTTCACATGCATTATAGGGAATTTTACCAACACATCAAGAAAACGCATTTATGAATATATAATATTATGTTTTGTTAAAATTCCATAATGTATTTTCATGCTTTCTTCCACCTCCATCAAGAATCCCCATGAAAAAACCACACGAAGTATTCCTTCATATGAAAGATAAACATTTAATTTTTTACCTAAAACGATTGAAACTATATTCCAATAATTTTTATGCAAAAATTTAACATTACGAAAAATACATCAATCAATAACAATATTTTGAAAACATATTTCAGTTTGCAACCTGTTGAAGAATTTTAATTTCCTCTTTAATTACGAAAAGAATATTTCGTTTTATGCATTTAAATTACCATCAATTACTTACAAAATGTATGTGCAAGCCAGCATAAATTATGAATTCATAATATTTTACGTTCACTTTTCTACTGTTGATTACAAATACATACAATACTTGTGCATAATAAAACTTATTTCCAATCTGAATTATTAGTTAAAAATAGTATAAGAATATTTATATGTCAGTGACATTAATATATTAAAAACATATTAATGTCACGGGAAACTAAAACAAGTAATAATTATGTCTATCGAAAATATTTTTATCGATTTCTCCTCTGAAGGAGCCAGTGATTTGACAAATTCCATTCGTATTAGTCATGGAGGATTTGTGGCATGTTCTTTCATTCATTATAAATTAAAAGAATACTTCGATAAAACTCGTACAGAATTTCCGACTTTTTAACGCTATATCCTAACAAGTAACTACGGAGTTTTAAAAAAAATTTTTTTTTAAATACAACGTGAAATTCAAAACCTCAGCTAAGTTACGTCCCTAGCACTTGGGTTAGTTAGATCTACGACTTCAATTCTATGATTTTTAACATACAAAAACTAACTTTCGTTTCCATTATCATAATAATGATTACAAATATGAGGATTGCACATGAGCAATATAATACACGAGTATTACACAAGGGCGCCGAAAGCGAAAGTTATGCTTTTGACAAGAAGTTTAAAAATAAATCCTTTAGGAAAAGAAACTAGAACGTTCTTATAAATGGCAGAGCTTATGCACTACTTTATTTTTTTTGGAAGAACAAGGACATAAAATAAATTCAGTCATACCATCATATCGCTCCGCCTGCTCGGCAAGTTTAGCTTTGTAGACATTATCTTCCCGGTCGGCCATACTTCACGACAGCGTAAGCAATAAATTATTTTAAGATTTACGGCACACCCTATTAGTACACCAGACCCTACGGAAACAACACTAAAGTGGCGAAATTTACACGAAAATTAAAAGTAACTTTTTTTTCCCCTTCCAGGTAATTTCTAAGACGTCGGTCACAAAACACCCACAACCTTGGAAAATGGCCGCATTTCAGTAAAATTTTGATGCCACTCTTCAAGTTAAAGTGAAACCTTCGCTGGGACTATTATCCTAACCTTTAAGAACAAAACAAAAAAAAAAAAAAAAAAAAAGTGCTGAAATTTACAGATCAAAATCATAAGTATCACTATATCTATGATCAAAATCATAAGTATTACTATATCTATAATGAAAATGCATATTTCAACAAAATGTTTATAATCTGAGATGGTCACAGCAATACAGCTGATATGACTACTCAAGATTTTTAATACTTGAGTAATAAAAGTATTAGAAAACAAGGGCATCCATCTCTTTATTAAAATAAAGTTCTTTAAATATTTTCAAATTCAGTAAAAGTTCGATTTTTTCCTTTAAACAACATAATGCAATCATTAAATATGCAATCAAGATGCAAATGTCTAGAATTGCAGAAAATTAATGCAAAAATTTTTAGTCCAAAACAACTTGTCCCTGAAGGACGATTGTTTTCGTTTTGCGTTCAATCATTAGCAATCTTTATCAATCTTGCTTTTAAGCAAGAAGAAAGGAGATGCCGTTTCCTCCAGTCCGTGAGGAAATTACCATGTGTTTTTATTTTTCTGAATCATTATTTAACAAGGAGGTTAGAATAGAAGGAGGGAAGGTTCAACTCAAACGGTGAAGCTTGGCGGCCATATTCCTGTTATCACTGTGACTTGTGCAAGGAAGTCTGTAATTGCAATATTTTTTTTTTTTTTTTTTTTTTCTTTTTGAAGCATGTCAGCTTGTGTTGTATATGGATGCACAAACAGATTTTCGAAAAAGATTCCTGGGATTACTTTTCACGCGTAAGTATTGATTTTCTTTTTTTTATGTAATTTGATAACTATGGTAAAAAATATCACAATGTCATGTTGTTTTCTTTCCAGATGTGAAAAAAAGGACTTAATCAAAATATGTTAAATACATTTTAATGTTTCTGTTTATAGCTGACATCTTTGTTTCTTAACATACAATGATGTATGCTAGGATTTAAACTGTATAATTTGAACGTTTTAGGTAATTCGTTTGATAATTTTCATGAAAAGTAAGACACCAATTGTTACTATTTTTATGAATTGTAAAGGTGTTAAATAAAATAATGCTTTTCTTTATGTATTAATTATAATTCATTTTAAAGTTTTTTGAACTGTTAAGAATATAATTTGTGCATTTGATCAAGATAACAAAAACTAAAATAACTGCGCATCAACTAAAATAACTGAATTCACATAATTCTGTTTTATTTTATTAATATTTTTTTCTGTTATAAGTACGTTGGTCGTGGAAAGAATCTATTTAAAACTTTCATTTTAAAAAATGCAACCTGTGACTATTTTTTTAGATAATTATCTGCTATTAATTTCAGGTTAAATATATTTTAAAAAATGATTCTTTAATAAATTAAAATATTGTGATAAATAAATCAGAAATATCACTTCTTAAAGGAAAAACTGGAAAGTGCACCCAACAGGTTGCTAATAAAACCTAAACAAATTTTTGAAATATGCAGAAACATTATTTTTAAAGGCTTTAATGTTATGAACATGCATTTAGATTTCGACCTATTTATTAATGATTTTCTGTACTTAGTAAATTACGCATATTATCTTTATAACTTTAAAACAAAAAACTAACAGTAGCGAAGTATTTCATTATGAATTTTACATATTTTTAGTGGAAAACACATGCACGGAACAGCTTAAAAAACACGTACGTTTCATTGCCGTAATGCAATGTTTTGAAGTTACAAATATGGACGCCTCTTGTTCGGTGGAGTTTCATTCCCCGATAGTGGAGGAAACTGCGAACCCTCCCTCCTTCTATTCTAACCTCCTTGTTATTTAATGTCCGTTTCACTTTTCAAACTGTTGCCACCAAATGTTAGAGTCCTGCATTATATTTGAATAAATTAAATAATGAAAAATCTGCATAAATGTACACATATTTATCGCATTGTGATAAAAACAACCATACACAGAGCCATCGAATTTTGAATGACGTAATACTCCTACGAATATGGTCATATGGAAGACAAAATTTGAAATTTGTTTTATTATCGATTTCATATTTTGTAAAACTTTAACGAATTTTTGAGTAACAAACTCAACGATTTAAAAGCGAGCAATGGCAACACTCTACAGGGAAACAAACCTTTTTATCTCAAGGAGGTTAGAATAGATTCTAACCTCCTTGTTTTATCTCCAGGGCGCGGAACTGTGTATCGGAAATTCTAAAGGTAATATTATTTTAAAATTTTTTGTGACATTGCTATTGAACTGAATTTTATGTTTTAAGTGCAAAGAGTTATGATATTTAATAAATACAGATAACACACAAAACGTCAAAAAAAAAAAAAAAATACCGCCCCTTTGGACGTAATTTAAAATCTCTTTCAGATTTTCTAAAAATAAATAATATATAAGTTATGATTCGAGAAATAAAGAAATGCAGAATCTGAACACAGAAAAATAATTTAAAATAGTTTGTAACAGACAGATTCTTACCTTACTCTCTGTTGGTGGCCTTCGAATAGAATCACTTTGTGATTACTGCACCGGATTTGTAAGCGAGAATTCCAGATTCTAACCTTGCCACTACATGCGGCGTTTATAACTGCCAAATCCACAGCTATTATTAAACAGTGATCGAGTTTTACATTTCGGATTTGTGGGAGATGAAGCTTTACCAGTCATGAAAATGTTTTATATCTTATCTTATTAAACATTCCTTAAATGAAAGATTTTTTAAAAAAATTATATAAATTCTCGAGCAAGGAGATGTGTTGAAAATAGTTTCGGCATATTGGTTTCTTGGTAAGTTCACTTAGCAGTTTCAGCATGCTGTTACTTTCAGAAGCAATAATATAGTAAGCACTATATCTTATCTCGTTCATTTGCATTTTGATAGTTGAAAATGATGGTTCCGTTAAAACCATCGAAACTAGTCCTGTTAAAATTTGCAAATACTACGCTGATTATTGTTGTTTGACTTCTAAATGAATATTTGTTCGCCGTATTATTTTATCTTAATTCTATTTAGTATTCTGAAAAATTTGAAACCATATTTTCTATTGCACTAAACAGTATATTTTAAAATTTTTATTGTAACTGAGCTTATGAATTGGAGATAATTTGATTAGATCTTGATTAACCGTGAAAAATAATGCTAGCCAAGGGTCTACTTGCTTCAATATAATTGGCTGAAACTAAAAAGATTTTGTTTTTCTAATTGAACTTAACATTCCTTTGGATTCTCTTCTTGTACGATTTTATATGCTTATCATCATTTGCCAGAAAAATTTCTAAGAAAATGCTGTCTCTTACATACAGTTATATGGGATAATTCCTAGTCATGAAGCTGTCGGAGCAATGCAGATTGATATTTGTTCTAAATTAAAATATTAATTTAGCAAATATTTGTGGTAAGGGGAGGAAACGAAGTTATGTATGTTTAAGTTTCTCGTACTGCAAAGTATAACCCAATTATCGTATTTACTCGCATATCCTGCCTTTTTTTGCGAATTTTATACGTGAATAATTTATTTCCCGAAGGATGCGATCACAGACAGGACATAACAAATTAAAAGTGTTCATGGATAAGCTACTGGTAACTACCACAGCATTAGTTATTTAAAATAAATCTTTATTTCAAAATGAAGCGTACTAATATTAAAGTCACAACACGTAATAAAGTATCTCAATTCTACTTGTTTGTATCTCGAATCTCGCCCGCTCTTTTAATTATCAACTTCTGCTACCTAAGCTTCAAATTATTCAAGAGTGCTGGAACTGTGGTCAAATTATTTAATAGTAGTGTCTGAGGTCGTCTTTTGCAGATTGCAAGTCATTGCGATTGCCACAGTTGTTATCATTCAGTTTTTCTTCCTGCATGGAATAATTGTAGAATTATCAAGAGCGTTAGATTCCCCAGTTTTCATTAAGCTCCTTATTATTATTGGAAAGGAGGAAGGTTCGACGTGAACTTAGCAAGTACTTTGCGGGGATTTGTTTGTAAGGCAAAAAAAAAAAAATTTCTTGGATGAAGTCATTTTAAAATTTACAGGATTTGCTTTCTAAATACCTTAATGAAGTAAAAAATTACCCAGATATTTAAAAAATTTCAGAACCTTAAACTAAAAGCAGGATTCGTACACATTTCTGCACATGGAAATCAAATAGTTTTAAGTACTTTGAAGGATCATCAATAAAAAAAATTAAGCTAAATTCATTTACTCTTATCTATTTACCGTTGCTTTCATGGTATCCCATATCTCTCTTTATTTCCTAGCTCTAAATTCCTGCGTTAACTTTATCTTAGGTTAGAGTCTCTTTAAAAAAACGAGATTTTCTTTTACATCAGAAAGCAGCATATTCTGCTGTTGGTCATAATGCTGTTTTGGGCTACTTTTTTTAGAACTACAAATACAGCGTGTGAGTTAGTGAAATAATGGGAGAATATTTATGAAACTTCAGCCAGCGCGCGCTATAAATTTCATCACTCGTCTGTACTGCGATTCGTCTAAAGCTCCTTGAAGCCTTGTCCCCTTTCCATAAAGTTAAATGGACCCACCCGCCCTCCAACTGAGAACCACAGAATGGCTTTCTCCGATAAGTTGTGTTGGCTGTTCATACCGGTTTTTTTGAGTCAATATTGTTCGCTCAAGTTGTAGACGTTTCCAGTCATCGTAGAATAGGTATCCAGGTGACTCGTTGGTGGTCGCCATCATTCGGGCAGTTGCTATCGACAGCGTTGTACGCAGCTCAGTTCTCTTGAATAGCTTGACTTTCATTTTAATTGCAGTAGTGCAACCCTACTGCAACTAATTTGCACTTCAAATTAGTTGCAGTTCAAAATGTACTATTTTAGGACTCGAGATGATGACAATTACAGTGACTACGCTGACTCTGAGTATTCAGTGAAATCTCAAAAAGTTATTTCAAAAAGACGTGATGAATTTCTGAAGTCCATCCCTGTGGCAAACAAGAAATCCAGTAAATCTCAGTG